AGAAATCTGGTTGATATAATTTTCACACGCCATTTTCCCGTTGTAAATGCGTTTTAATGTTCTATATAGATTGGTGTATAGTTCTAAGAAATTTGGCTATTTCAGAGAATATGGATTCGTTTTTTATGTCAAAAACTGCTTTATGTATTTTTTGACGAATATCTGTCATCCTTAAAGAAAAATCTTAGTAGAATATCATTTTTAATACGCATAATATAACGACAAGGCTCGTTTTTATACAACGGTTTGGAGCCGTTAAAACGGGACGGCGTTGGTCGTAAGGATTAGCCACTGGCATTTATGCCAGTGCCACATGAGAAAAAGAAGAAGAAGAATATCACCTTACTATTGGTTTGTTCTTTTTAGCTGCACTGCGGAACTAGTGCAATAAGTTAGAATGAGACAACTATATTTTTATATAATTATAACTATATTTTTTCTCACTTTAACTTATTGCACCAGTTCAGTAGTGCAGCTAAAAAGAACAGACCATTAATCTCCACTGTGGCTGCGTTCCGATACTCATTGCCAGCACTGAAAATCTATAGTATAAGTGACTTACACAAACTGTATATCTACTATATATCTTCTATATAGTCTATATAAACTATATATCTTCAGTACCGGCAATGAGTATCGGAACGCAGCCTATTTCTCCCTTCACTCACCCAAGAGTATTTTTGAACGCAGTCTAGATGAAGTATGATTAGCACTATTCAATTGTCTATATTTTTGTTTCATTTTTTATCCATTTCGTTTAATTCTACTCAATCACGTAATAAGTATTATTTTCTTCGTGATTTGCAATATGTTCGCTTTGATAACATTTGAAGATAATATACTCTATATATGTCAGTCGTGCAATATTAGTGTTAAACAAGGAATTCAAAAAGCAAAATACAGTGACAATCGTTGGTATCCAGCCACCATTATAGCAAAAAACGGTAAGTTATACTTTTTTATTTATTTGAAGCTATTACTAATATCTGTACACCTTAATGTAAATATTTATTGATAAAATTAATACCAAATTGCATATTTCGATCTTATGTTAAATATGTTCATGTCAATCAAAGTTATATTTCCTATGTGAGGTATAGGTCATACGGCATATTACGTTAGCTTGAAGAAAAAATAAGTAATCCCGTAAATCCCATCAATATATTCGACAGTTGTACATAGCCGTAAAATATCTTTTGTGATATTGGTGTATAAATAGCTTAATCCTTAATCTATATCCTGAGATATCTTCAGATATATATTACGCAGAAAATTATACCAGTGCTACAAAAGTTCATAGCTAATACATATAATTTTGTTGAGAATCCTAGCAAGACTTATCCTTTGCTGTTCAGTTATTTTATACTCTAGCTAACATAAAATTATATATGATTTTCATATGCAGCTAAGAAAACTTTAATGTAGACAAATATATTTAATATTAAATACCTAGCCAGTATATTTACTTTTATATTTATATTAGGAGCGCAAAAAAGTTCTGAGCCCTAGATTTCATACTACTGAAACCACAATTTAAATTGCATTAATTTTCCCGCCCTCTTACGGTTTCAAAGCAGTGACATTTGGTCTTTCGAAACATCGTGCGATTTGGCGTTTGATGCACATAACCTTAAAATCAGCAGTGTTCACGATAGCAATAACAAAAGGGCATATTTGATTTTCCATCCACTTCGTGTTTCATCTGAAGAAAAATGCTGCTGAAGTCACTGAAATGATCTGTGTTGCATATGGAGAGAACGTTGTAAGTTATGCTACGTGTTAAAGGTGGTATCAAAAATTTCTCCAAGGAGATTTCAGTCTTGAAGATGAACCGCGTGCTGGACGCCCTCAAAAGATTGAAACGGACGAACTGCAAGCATTGTTGGATATAAACTCTACACAAACTGAAAAGGAGCTTGCAGAGCAACTTGGCGTTACGCGACAAGCCATTTCCACACGTTTACATACAATGGGAAAAGTTCAAAAGGAAGGCAGATGGGTTCCGCATGCACTGTCCGAAGACAACAAAAATCGACGGCGTGACACGGCACTCACTTTGCTTTCAAGGTTCCAAAAAAAGGATTTTCTGCACCAAATCATTACAGGTGATGAAAAGTGGATACTTTATGATAATCCGAAGCGTAAAAAATCATGGGTTGACCCTGGTCAACCTTCGACATCGACGCCAAAGACCAATACCCACGCCAAGAAGGTTTTGCTTTGCATATGGTGGAATTGGAAAGGTGTATTGTATTACGAGTTGTTACAGCCGGATGAAACAGTAACGGCAGATCGCTATCAGCAACAATTGAGCAATTTGAGCGATGCGTTTGAAGAAAAGAGGCCATTTATTGGCAAAGGACGTCGTAAAGTGATACTGCTTCATGACAATGCCCGACCACATGTTGCGAAAGTGACTCAGGACCATATCTTTGCGTTAGGCTGGGAACTTCTCCCGCACGCGGCGTATAGCCCAGACATGGCGCCTTCCGATTACTACCTATTCCAGTCTCTGCAGCATTTCTTGGCTGATACACATTTTGTGACACTTGAAGAGATACGAAAATGCATTGATGACTTTATCACCTCGAAGCCGGTGAGCTTCTACCATCAGGGAATTCGCAAGCTGCACGAAAGATGGCAAAAGGTCATCGATGCAAACGGGGAATATTTCATTGATTAATATAGTTTTGTTTGTTTTTAAATAAATTTTGAATTTTGCAAAAAAAAGCTCAGAACTTTTTTGCGCTCCTAATATATAAGGTATTGATTACATAATTCATTAATTTCCTAATAATATTATATAATTTCTTATATATTCCAATATGTTAGTACTACAAATAGTACTAACATATTGGAATATATAAGAAATTATATAATATAATGGTAAACAGTAAATACAAAATATTATAAATCTGATTCTAGTTAACGTATAATTATATGTGAAAGTGAAAAACAATATATTAAACAGAACATATTGATTTTATACACATTGTTGCAGATAATAAAAAAGTATTACAAGAAATATTACCAGATATAGAAGAACATAAACTGTATATATTATCAAAGAGATTAAATTTCAAAAAGTATGAGAATAGAAAATATAAGATGCAAAGTAAAACTACACACAAAGAAGAATATGATTATAAAGTAAACAATGAATTCTCTATCTTGTGGTATGTCTGTACATAATCATGCAAATTAATATGAAATATCGTTTTATTATAATTATTAAATATTTATTAAATATTTATTAAAACCATAACTCTGTTTTGTTTGTACTTTAGATATGAATACACCGAAAGAAGTAATTGACACAAATAGTAACTATAAGACTAATAAGAATGGGCAAAATTGTGATTGTCAGTGAGACACTGATATTTCTATATCTTGTGGTAAGTGTATTTGTGTAATGATGCTAATTATTATGAAATATAATTGTGTTATAATTTTTAAATGACGATTTAATTCTACTTTTACTCACATTAAATATTAACATAGCGAAAGACTTAAATAAAATTAATGGATGTTATATGTACGAATAAGACGAAAAAGAAAATTTCCAAGAAAATACCGATATTTTTGTATTCTCTAGTTTTACAATCATCCTATACAGAACAAATGTCCAAAATATAACTCAGGGATATTTGTTCTGTATGATATGCTAATTATTATAAAATATGGTTTTATTACAACTGTAAAAACATAACTTAATTTTATTTTTGCTTGCATTGTAGATAAGAACACAGTGGAAGGAATAATTGACACAAATAGTAACCGTAAAACTAGTAACACCGATACTCCTACATCTTGTGGTAAATATATTTTTATAACAATGTTAATTATTACGATATATGATTTTGCTATAATTTGAAAATGGCGATTTAATTTTACTTTTTATTTTACATTAGATATTAACACAGCAAAAAACTTAAATAAAGTTAATGGATGTTATAATATATACGAAAAAGACTGTAATTCCCAACGAAATACCAATATTCTTGTACTCTGATAATTTTTATAATAACTAATTATTACAATATAAGATTTTATTATTGATTATAAAATCACGACTTAATTCCATTTTTCTTTGTATTTTAGATATGTACACAACAAGAGAAGGAAATGACGAAAATTAAAACTGTCAAACTAATAGAAACGAACAAGAGAGAGACTTTGATTCTCAAAGTAACATCGATACTCCTACATCTTGTGATAAAGGTATTTCTATAACAATGTTAATTATTACGATATATGATTTTGTTATAATTTGAAAATGACGATTTAATTTTACTTTTTATTTTACATTAGATATTAAGACAGCGAAAGACTTAAATAAAGCTAATGGATGTTATAATATATACGAAAAAGGCTGTAATTCGCAAGGAAATACCAATACTCTTGTGTATTTTTGTGTACCATTACCATTCTGGTAATTTTTATAATAACGCTAATTATTACAATGTAAGATTTTATTATTAATTATAAAATCACAACTTAATTCCATTTTTCTTTGTATTTTAGATATGTACACAAGAGAAGGAAATAACGAAAATGAAAACTATCAAACTAATAGAAACGAACAGGAGAGAGACTTTGATTCTCAAAGTAACATCGATACTCTTAAATCTTGTGGTAAATGTATTTCTATAATAATGTTAATTATTACGATGTATGATTTTGTTATAATTTGAAAATGACGATTTAATTTTACTTTTTATTTTACATTAGATATTAAGGGGTAACGTCAGTAGAATTTTGAAAAAATCGATTTTTTTTGCTTAAACGATAGTTTTGACCTTCAAAAATAATATCCCCAAGGCTTTTGGCCGAAAAATTTTTTTTTACCGACATATAGCGACCAAACCTAAAACCCGCCCGTTGCGCGCTTAGCGTGCGCTCGACGCTTCAAAGCGTTTACTGGTCTTAGGTATATATCTGTCTCAGACTATTCATTTTTAAGCTTTGCTAGTATATACATAGATGGTATTAGAAGTATTTTTGACTACGTATATGTTAACCTAGCAACAGTACGACCGTTAGAAGGACGCTACCTGTAGAGTTGAAAAGACGTTACGGTTAGAAATTCCTCTCTTCTAAGTGAATATTTGCCGAAATTTCAACCATGAGTGACAAAAATGTTGTGTATTCTGAAAGAAAAGGTACCAGAGAGTCTAGTTGGCATTCTCATCGAAGAGGTATGGGAAAACATCGACCGAAAAATCGTTATGAAGCGGAGAGAGAAGTTGAAGGAGTGAGCACGTCTGCCAAGAAATTGAAGACTGTGAGTGAAAGTGACATTAATGTTAATCAATCATTTGGCTACTGCTTCATTAATTTTGTTGCCGTTTTTACTGCTATCTCGAATGTTGTAGTGTGTCATAAGTGCCATTCTAGAGTGACTTTTAGTCATACTTCAATGCGCGGCTTGGGCTTAAAAATAAATGTTACATGCGAAATGTGTGACAATATTAGTAGTGTTCCGAACAGTCCATTTATTAGAAATGCGTACGAACTGAATAGACGAATAGTACTAGCAACGCGTTTATTAGGAATCGGTATGAATGGATTAATCAAGTTCTGTGCCTTCGTGGATCTGCCTCGGCCGATATTTCAAACCGTTTATACAGCTGCTGTGGATATAATTTCGGTCGCCGCTCGCTCGGTGTGTCAGATTAGTATGGAGAGAGCAGTGAAAGAAGAGAAGGAAATGACTTCTGCAGAAGGACGAGATTATAATGAACTGACTGTATCTGGCGATGGATCTTGGAGGAAACGAGGATTCACGTCGCTTTTCGGCTTAGTTTCTTTAATTGGCTGGCATACAGGAAAAGTTGTCGACATCATCGTCAAATCTAAGTACTGCAAAATTTGTGGAACTTGGGAAAAGAAAAAAGATACCGAAGAGTATGCGGAATGGCTTGAAACGCATAAGACAGTTTGCCAGTCAAACCATGAAGGCTCTGCAGGAAAAATGGAAATAGATTCAGTAATCGAGATGTTTAAACGTTCCCTTAGTTTGTATAATATGAAATACATTTCTTACATCGGCGACGGTGACAGTAAAACTTTTAAAGGATTTATAGATGCTCAGCCTTATGAAAATACTGTTGCGCAGAAAAAAGAATGCATCGATCAAGTGCAAAAACGCATGGGAACTCGATTGCGTAACGTTAAAAAATCAAAAAAAGGCCTAAGTGGAAAGGGTAAATTGACTGGTAAACTTATTTACGATTTAAGTAAATATTATGGTTTGGCAATTCGACGCAATCCTAACTCAATAGAAGGTATGAAAAATGATATTTGGGCAACTTTATTTCATAAATTGTCAACAGACGAGAAGCCTCAACATGAAAAATGCCCGCCGGGAGAAGATTCGTGGTGTACGTGGCAAGTAGCTTATGCTGAAAGAACCTTAGATGATTATAAACATCCACCGCCAATGAACCTCGAAGTTTTTGAAGCGATTCAACCTATCTACAAAGATAAGTAGAGATGATTTGCTTAAGCGTTGCACAGGAGGATACACTCAAAATAGCAATGAAAGTTTCAATTCAATAGTTTGGTCTATCGCTCCGAAAACAAGATCAAGCGGCAAAAAAATATTGGACTTGAGTGCAGATATTGCTGTTAGTATTTTTAACGATGGACTGCAGGCAGTTTTAAGAATAATGGACACCATGGAAATAACAATTGGCAATAATTGCTACAACTTCTGCCTCGAAGCCGATGCGAAGCGAATTCAATACTCCGAGCGCTCGCTCACTGATAAAGCGAAAGAGGCGCGCCAATCCTTAACGGCGGCCAGAAAACAAGGAGAAGAAGAAAATAGCAACATAGAGGGTCAACTTTATGGTTCTGGAATAGCTGACTAATGGTAAGATCATACACAAACTCAATTTTTTTAATTTATATGAGAACTATAGCGTTCTAAAACTTTAAAGAGTTTTCTCGAAACTACATTTTTCAATCTTGCGCGACAAATAACTTTTACAATTTTTGGTAGAATAATTTCAGATTTTAACAGCATCTTTAAAAATAGATTATCTAAAGAAAAGCGTAGGGATTTTTCGAAATATTGATTATTTCTTTTTTTATAAACAATTATCGGCCAAATTTTTTCGTGAAAATTACTACATAATTTTCAAATGCGTGCCATTTCTACAAAAATTAATTTTTCAAAAAACCCCTACGCTTTTCTTTAGCTTTTGAGCTAAACTTTGAAAAAAACTTTCGTTTTTTATTCTAGGTTATGATTTACATCTTCTATTTGTCGCGCAGTGGAGCGTGGCGAAAAAAACCCACCTGGCTTTAATCTGTAGTATGACCGCCATTTTTTAATAAAAACGTTCCACAAAATTCAGGGATATACCTTAAGATGTGTACAATAAGCCTATGTAATCTGCTTTTTACCTTAATATTCCCTGTTCTCTAAAAAAATTCCCAAAAATGACCCTTGAAAACAGGTCTCTACACTGATGTTACCCCTTAACACAGTTAGAAAGACTTAAATAAAGTTAATGGATGTTATAATATATACGAAAAAGACTGTAATTCCCAAGGGAATACCAATATTCTTGTACACTCTGGTAAGTTTTATAATAACGCTAATTATTACAATATAAGATTTTATTATTAATTATAAAATCACAACTTAATTCCATTTTTCTGTGTATTTTAGATACGTACACAACAAGAAAAAAAAATGGCGAAAATGAAAACTGTCAAACTAATAGAAACGAAGAAGAAAGAGACTTTGATTCTCAAAGTAACATCGATACTCTTACATCTTGTGGTAAATGTATTTCTATAACAATGTTAATTATTACGATGTATGATTTTGTTATAATTTGAAAATGACGACTTAATTTTATTTTTTATTTTGCATTATATATTAACACAGTAAAAGACTTAAATAAAGTTAATGAATGTTATAATATGCACGAAAAAGACTGTAATTCCCGAGGAAACATCAATATTCTTATATTCTATGGTAAGTTTTACAATCATCCCATACAGAACAAATGTCCAAAATACACCTCAGAGATATTTGTTCTGTATGGTATGCTAATTATTATGAAGTATGGTTTTGTCATAACTGTAAAATCATAACTTAATTATATTTTTGCTTGCACTTTAGATATGAACACAGTGGAAGAATTAATTGATACAAATAGTAACTGTAAGACTAGTAACGCCGATACTCATACACTTTGTGGTAAGTTTATTTATGTAATAATGTTAATTATTATAAAGTATAATTTTGTTATAATTTTAAAATGATGATTTAATTCTGTTTTGATTTTTACATTAGATATTAACACAACGAAAGGCTTAAATGACGCTAAAAAATGTTATGATACTGATATATACAAAAAAGACTGCAATTTTCAAGGAAACATTGATATTCCTATACTCTATGGTATTTATTCGTAAATTATTGCTAATTATTTTTATCTGTAAATTTTATCTGTAAATAACCACTAATCATTTTTAAATGCGTGTTTGCTTCATTATATTTCTAAAAATACTATTTTTTTTACGCTAGATATTAACCAAGAAATATTCGTTTTGAAAGATAATAGGCAGAATAAAAATGATACAAATGAGTTAGATCGTATTCATGGGGAAAACACCGGTTTTAGTATATCTGGCAAGTATTTGTAATTTATACTTTTGCTGTTTAAAAACATTTTTTCACTTCAATATTTTATTAAATATTATATTTCAAAATAACGGCATTAGTTAAAACCCCGATAACATAACATATTTAAAAATATATGTTGTCTGGGAACTTACGTTATGATTAAACGTTTACTTGTTTCCAGAGAATGATATAGATTTACTATGCAACGACGATTTGCTGTTGGATATAGCAAATAAATCTTCTTATAGTACAAATGAAAACAATAACCAAAAAATTACTAATACACAAGTGGAAGAAATAGTGTCTAGTATGTACTTCATGTATTAATAACGAGAGAGAGAAAGTGTTGTAAACTTGTTTCAATAACTGCTACTTTGTCGAATGGTTGAGAAATATATATATTTGATCTCCAAGACTCGCACACTATGTTGATGCTTTGAGGGCAGTCGCCATATTCCTCCTTCTTCCTCGCCCATAGGACGCGGAGTAATACCGTGAAGGCGCGCGCGCATCGGAAGGCGCTACGTCGGCTGGGGCTCACAAAAGAGAGTATTTTAAATATTATAATATATTTAAATAATATAATATATTTAATTGTCACTGCGCTTGCGCAATTTGTATATCATAATTATGCTCTACTAAATTAATAAAAAATGTTTTTGTCCCATTTTTACTACGTTTCGTCTACTTGCAGGTATTCTGAATGATGATTTAGAGACAAGCAATATAGAGGGCTGTACTAGGAGATTAACATACAGCTCTATTGGTATGTACAAAAATCATTTAAATAATAAATACTATACGGAGAGGACATTATAATTCTTTCTCATAAAAAATTATTTCCAATTTTACTATGTTTCCTAATATTAAGTTCTAATGTTTTCTAATAAAAGGATAGACAGTCCGTTTATCCTTCTAAGCAACAGTAATTTTTATAATAGTAAGTTATATAATAGTAAGCTAATTGAAAATACTTTTTTTTGTTAACGGTGGAGAAGTCCTCATGATACCCCCGCCCCTTAGGGGGTTATGCCGGACTTTTACCGGTTAAAACCTCACCGAGGTGCGTACCAGCCGGGCTGGAGTGGAGGAGTCGAAGGAACTACGTCGGCATTCCCTTCCCGACACCTCGGGTAATCGAAAATATTATTTATTACTAAATTTTATTTATTACTAAATATTATTTATTACTAAATATTATTACTAAACTTATCTTTTACTAAAAATATAAAAGAAATAACAATGTGAGATTTATAAAGAAACATGTAAAAATGTTTTGACAGATATGAATACAGACATAGTAATTTACATGATGACACTGAATTAAATACAATATACATATGTGTATGATTTAAAATGTGTGGAATGTGTATTTTTTCAATAGGACATGGTAATTTTATTGAATGTGAATTTTTCTTATAGGATATTGTAATTTTCTTGATTTGCAGAACTACTCAACGAAAAGATTCGTCGATCGATGTCGAAACGATATCAAATCGACATCGATTTCACGATTTCTGTTACATTAAGAAAATTACAATGTGCTATTCCACAAAATTATTACGTTTCATAAGAAAAATACATATTAAGCGCATTTTAAATTATATATATGTATATTATATTTAATACAATGTCATTATGTTGTAACGGTAACGCCCGCGGGGTTCGGTGCGATCGGTCGCCCCACCGTCGCGCCCGGCTCGCCGCTTCCGCGACGCCTCGCTCGCCGCCGCTTAGGTGCGTTATTCGGGTGAAGGGCTAATTCAAGGTAGCTTCTCGGAAGAAATGTGTGTTCAGCGTTTCTGTGTTAACAAGTTGGGTGCGTCCCGCAAGGCGCCCCGTTTATTTAAAAGACGTTCGATGCTATATAATATATATATATATAAGTGTATGTGGGCGGCTCGCTGGCCCGGTGTGGCATCGGCGATGTCCGTTCCTTGGTGCCCGTGATTCCTGCGTAGCCGCAAGGGTGGTCCCCTATCCGCGGGATCAGAGGGGATGTTCCGCGGCCTCTTGGCGGTCCGACGTCCTCGGCCACGAGTCCTGTTGAGGCCGACTTACGCCAGCTGTTTTTTGGATAAGCGGGAGGTGGTATATTCCGGGCAGCATACCACGGTCACAAAGTCGGACAAGCACTGATAATTCCGCGAACCGATGTTTCGGAAATATTCTACGTCGGTGACCAACGCTGCCGACACAGACGAACAAACACTTATCCTCGCGCACAGGAATTTAGGAATTAATCTACGTCGGTGCCTAATTGCTACCGACGCAGACGGATGAGCACTTATGAATCGCGGAACGGCGGCGAACTGCTGCCGTTTGGTCGGAAACAGATACTTAGAAATATTCTGCGCCGATGGCTAACTGCTGCCGACACAGACGGACGAGCACATATAAATCCGCGAACAGATACTTAGAAATATTCTGTGCCGGTGGCTAACTGCTGCCGACACAGACGGACGAGTACGTATAAATCCGCGAACAGAGACTTAGAAATATTCTGTGCCGGTGGCTAACTGCTGCTGACACAGACGGACGAATACGGTAAATTCGCGAACAGATACTTAGAAATATTCTGTGCCGGTGGCTAACTGCTGCCGACACAGACGGACGAGCACCTAGAAATCGCGGAACGGTGGCTAACTGCTGCCGTTCTTTCGGAAACAGAAACTTAGTCTAATTCGGCGCGGCGGCTAACTGCTGCCTAACGTCGGCGGACGAGTACGTATAAATCCGCGAACAGATACTTAGAAATCTTCCGTGTCGGTGGCTAACTGCTGCCGACACAGACGGACGAGCACTTATATTCACGAACAGAACTTAGAAATTATTCTATGTCGGTGGCTAACTGCTGCCGACACAGACGGAAGAGCACTGGTATCCGCGCACAGGAACTTAGAAACTATTCGATGTCGGTGGCCAACGGCCGCCGACACAGACGGACGTACACTTAGAAATCGCGGAACGGCGGCTAACTGCTGCCGTTCGTTCGGAAACAGATACTTAGAAATATTCTGTGTCGGTGGCTAACTGCTGTCGACACAGACGGACGAATATGGTAAATTCGCGAACAGAGACTTAGAAATATTCTGTACCGGTGGCTAACTGCTGCCGGCACAGACGGACGAATACGGTAAATTCGCGAACGGATACTTAGAGATATTCTGTGCCGGTGGCTAACTGCTGCCGACACAGACGGACAAGTACGGTAAAGTCGCGATACCT